ATTTTAAATATACTTACAAAAACGTAGTACTAAATTTATTAGTAACTCGATTTTTTACGAGTGAATATACTTACTTAAAGTAAAGAGGACCGCCGATAAAATCGACGGGGGTGGAGGGCCTCTAGCTCGTTTTTACTAAATTAAACCTTAAATTAACAATATATGACTGAAAAGTTTTGAAGTGTATTCGAAATCTCTATAATTGTTATCTCTATAATTAATGTAATTATAGAGACTTTGAAATATATTTATATACTAGTAATTATGTTTGGTAAAAACGGGCTAAAAATCTGCATAAAAAACATAATTCCATTTTTATGCAGGCGCGTTTATATTATAAGATAAAATTCGCTAAATTAATCTGTTTAAATTCAATTTCGAGTTTAAAATTCAACAACTTTTATTTCCACAGTGAAATAGAAAATTTCATTTAAGAACTCATTAATAAACATTGTATTATTAAAAAATTTATTAAATAGAATTTCTTTATGTAAATTTCAGAATTTTTTCAATTTCTGAATAATTTTATAACTTTTTAGAAAAGTTCTCTGACTTTGTATTATATATAAATTTTTATACTTCAGAAATGCTAAGAATGTTTAATACATCTTTTAGATATATAGAATTATTTTCTTTCTGTAAATTCTTAAATACTTAAAGATTTCTTATCTTATAATTTCTGATGAAATCGTAGAAAATCTGAAAAATGTAAGGTATTTTTTCAGAAATTAAAAATTAAATAAGAAATCTTAGAGAAATCTTTTAGGATATTTCAGAATTCACGTACTTAAACAAAAAATTCTAAAAAAAAGATGTAGATTTTCTTAGTATTTCTAAAAGTTTCATTTAATTCGTATAAAAATACTTAAAAAAATGTTCCAGATATATTCTTCTCTATTTTTCTTCTGTTTTTCTTTCATTTTGTCTTAATTTCAATATTAATTACATTTAGAAAACTTACGTATTATTTAAGATATAAGATCTCATAGTCGTCTGTTTTACCAACTAAATGAAATAATTTTTGTCGCAATTTTTTTGATCAATCTGAAAAGAATTAAAGAATACTAATATGTGTCTTTGAGTTGGAATTTGCTCTGTATTTATATCGAGAACAGAAAAAATTTTTTGAAATTAAAATTTTTATCATGTCCTAGTTCAATATAGCATCTAGAACTGTCATCATCGTACAGCATCTTAAGACTTTACTTGAGACAATCTTAAAATAAGAACCGACTATGAATGTCAGCCTTAAAATCAGATATAGCCAATACGTTACAAAAATTTATGCACATAGTGCGACATTAATGTAGTAGTATATGATATATTAATGACACATAGTGCTTTTGAGTCAATAAAACAGACAACTATAGAATCCCTATAATGGGTGTCATAATTATAATCAAGTACAGAAATAATTGAGACGATAGTGATATATTAAAATAAAAATTATATAATAAAATTTTGCATATTTTTGAACAATTATGTTAATAATCTCTATTTCTTAATTTAATTACAAGAGTATTTTATATATATTATAATTTGTTCTAAACATTCTCTCTCTTTAACACATATAAACCTATATAAATTGTTAAGACACATAAACTCTCTGAATAGAAAAAATAGCTTTCGTCTAATAATTTTTGTGACTTTATCGACATCGCCTGCACGATTGCCGAGAGAGCAATAATTTCTTCGTATAACTCTTTAGGACGTCGTTTCACTTTAGCCAGCGTTTAAAATTCTCTATTATCTTGCTTCTGGTTTTGAAAATGGCTGAAGCGAACCAGGTTGTACCCATGATAAACCTAGTGGTTTATTTTCTTCTTCGTCCTGCAAAGTGCGATAAATTGATTAAATGTGTAAACTTATAGTGTGTTTTATCGTAATGAAAGTGATATACTCAAATACTTATTTACTTTTGGTTCATAAATTTCTTGTTTAATAGGGTCGTGTACTTCTTTCACATATGGATTAAATGTAATATAATGTGGATCATCCATAGTAGGTGGATTAAACACTTGATTTACGCTTTCCTTTACGTATGCTTTCACACGATCTTGAAAAGCTTCAAAATTATTTTCATGCCTGCAATATGCCGATTAATTCACACATGTAGATATCCTGGATGATATATTATTTTCACGTTTCCTTTAAGGACAAATATACTTACAAGCAAGACGCCTCCTCGTTTACTGAAGTCATTTTCGTGTCTAGTTTAATGAATATCTTAGTGATATACTGTAATAATTGCCAAATTCTGTTATTCCTTCTCCATTCAGGAAAGCCCCATGACGTGCACAATTCTCCACTTTCTGGATTTATTAATGGATGGAATATTTGAGTTTCAAACACAACTTTCTAAAACACATTTGAGTGAAAAAAAACTATACGTAAAGTTGATTATCTGCAAGTCAGTATTCTTACAGGGCAATCTCCAAGTGGAAAGTTAGGAGGCAGTGTAATGGTGAATCTAAAAACTCCGCCTTTGTAGATTCCTTGCCGAATGAACTGTACACCAAACCACACTGCGACAAAATGTGAAGATGAAGTATTAGAACTTTTTACAATCGCTAGTTTAACTACATTAAAGTGAAATAATCAAAAGATATAGTATAGATATATTTACATCAGAACCATTTTACAAGTCGTAATCGGGAAGAGCAAGACCTATAAAATAGGTTTACACCTATCAAAAACATACTAACATTTCAATAGAAAGAAACGTAGTATGCAAACAAGAAGAGGAAAAAGAAAGGGTATTTTTCCTTGACATGCAAGTTATAGAATGGTATAATACTAATTTCTGTTTCGAAACATTAATATTCACAAGTTAAAAGTTATCACAGAAAATTGCATGCCAAATTTCGAATATACTAAATAAAATATAGTCTTATATAGTCTTTAGCAATACTTACATAAAGCGTTCAAAGCAGATGGTATCACATAAATCCCCTTTAAATCTTGAGAACACAACATCTTGCTGAAAAATATCATAAAAAATCAGCTATCTGTTCACATATATCTGATAACATTACTAAACTTACTACTCAGACAAAATATTGTATTCCTGTGAGAAAATAGCATGTTGTTTATTGATTTGCCACACAATTGGTCTATCAATCATTTTCGCAGACATGCTTAATGGAGAATCTCCATGATTGCTTCCTGGTACAAGCTTTCTGAATGAGCCTTGTCTATTTAGATTATCATCCTTGCTGTCTTCGCTCTGAAATAAGAATATTATGAACGATTTTTACGAAAACAATAACTAAAATATCATCACACTATTAAATGATAAAATATATTTATTAAAAATAAAACAAGTGTTATATACACTTATCTTGTTTTATTCTTAATAACTATATTTTATCTTATATATTTTATCTATACTCTTTGTATTATTAAAAGAATAATCAGCAGAGGGAATAACATCACTCTTATATTTCTAAGATATGTATAAATAAAAAAAAAAGGTGAATATATCTACAACTCTCCACTTTCACCACATACAACTGTAAGATTTATTATTAAAAAAAAATATATATATATACATACATACATACATACATACATACATACACACACACACACACACACATATATATATATATATATATATATATACATACATGTATACATATATATATAATTATGCATTATTATTTATATTATTGTGCAACTTGCGAACTTGGAGCGAAATATTATCATATCTTTTAATATATGTTAAAAGGATTTACCTTAGCCGACATGATGAGTGATCATCAGAAAACAAGTGGAAATGATTTAATAACTCGCTACATTACAATTGCGAAGTGCGACATCATACGAGATGAGGTACTCTCGTCAGTAACAATAGATAATCTGATGGAGCGGCGTCAATCATGAATCGATGAATCATATGACATGAAAGATGAAAGCTCCGATTTCTGATCAGCTCCAATTTGCTTCGACATCGACGAGACATTATTAAGAAGGCCGCCTCTGGATAAATTTTCGTGACTATCAAGTGGATTCGAGGATAAGTGAAGAACGATGATATTACCAACCATTTTAATATTATCATACGAGTTTCATTATCAATAGAGATGACTATAGAGAAAAAATATTAATTTTTCAATATATGAAAAAATGTCAGGCGCTCTATCGGTACCGGTACTTATTTTAATAGTTTATTCGACGCGTTTTTACACGAAATGAACAAATTTGGCGAATAAAGTATCGCTCTGCCCCGTAATGAACAGATATTAATCGTTAATAGAGACTTTATATGTGTGTGGGACAAGAAATAGATGTTCAACGAGAAACCTTATACTAAATCTTACTTTAACTAGAACTCAAAAAACTATGATTCTATATGGTGAAATTAATGAAACTAAAATGGTAAAATTAAAGATTTTATAGTTAGAATTGAATATAATTATAGCAAATTAAGTCTTTCATTAACTGGAAATTTTTAAATTGTAACTTTATGGTGAAATTTTGTTGTGGAAATTGAGGATTTTTAAAAATTCTGTGAATTTAGAGTTATAGTAAAAATTAAGAATTTTATTAATTTTATATTAATACAAAAAATAAAAATTTTTGAAGCTGTAAGTTATAGCTATAATTATCTCTTTTTGTGAAGTTGTTAATACCGATTTTTAGTATCTATAATCTTAAACCTAATTTTATTGTTATACAATTTGATGAACAATTTGATTATTATACAATTTGATGAACTAAAATAAATTTTCACAAATATCAAATAATTTCAAACATCAATTGATCATCAATGACTTCTAAACAAAACAACCTTTATTTTAGTTATAAAATGAAATCACTATATAATTTTTATAATATGACTAACATATAACATAACTTTCCAAACTATACGAATTTATGATTACACAAAGTTTATTTCGCATTTTAAATTTATAAAATAAAATATTGAAAACTTTAACTCACTTAATAAAAAATCTTAAAAAAAAAACAATATACCAAATCACACTTGATGTCTCGTCTTTCTATCACATTTTTCAGCTTTCTTACGGTCAATATTCTTGGGAACTGTTATTGTCCACAATTTGTTCGACATTCTGCTTCTCCATGCCTTCTTTAGAAGATGTCGCCGTCGCCTGATTATTGTTTATAATTTGTGGTTTATAATTCTGTGACTCCACTGCAGATTCTGCTGGCTGGCTCTCCGGTAGTTGATTTCCAATTTCTGATTCTTCTGATCGACAATGTGGATAATGTGGTAACAATGCGGTCGACGTCGGATTCAAAGCCGGCAATTTCGTTACTTGGACGGTGAGAGTTTGTTTTTCGAAGCTCGACTCTTGTTGTAGATTTTTGGGAATGAGATTAATACCTTCAATGGATATGATTTTTGGTTTATTGTTTGTTTGTTTATTTGTGGATGTTGCGGTTTGTTCTTCTATTAGCTTGCCATCGCTTCCTCGTGTTTGACTTGCAGTTGCATTTTTCAATGCTTCACTCGAAATTTTGTTCTTCTTTTCCTTCTTTTTCTTTTTTTCGTTCAGTGTTTGCACTTCCTCCATAAAATTGGATTCGGAAAATGATATTTTCCTTTTCTTTCCGGACAATTCTTTTTTATTCTCGTCTGCCATTCCGGGTGTGGACGATTTAATTTTAACTGCTGGTAATTGTTCCACTTGCTGAGTGCTGTCATTTGTATGCACCATACCAACACGTCTCGTTAAACGATCCTCCATTAAGTCGTACTTTGTTTGAAATATTTGTGGTCCATGATAGCCTTCTGGTCTTAAATCTTTGATTTTTACATGACTTGGGTCACATTCTGCTTGATCCTTGATAACCAAATTGTCCCCATACTCAGTACTTTCATTTTTTAACTGATTGTACCTGTTAATTGTCCTGGTAATCTCCAACTGTTGTCCTGTCTGTTTATCGACTGCTTTATATCTAATATTTTCCTTTTCCAGTTGTTGTGTAATTTCGCGCATGTATTTTATGCGTTTTATCCGCAGTAAAATTTCCTCTTTAATTTTCAATTCGTTCTTAAGTTTTTGCAGTAGTGTCTTTTCGTCCTTTTCTAGCTGTCGTCCGATGTCGCTCGAACTTGTTTCTGACGAAGTCTCCATCGTCCTTCGTATATTATTTATCTTGGTTTCATTTTTTTCTTCTGTAGTTGGAATAGATTTGGATTGTCGTCTAGCCGTTTTTCGTGTTGCGGCTAGTGATTTTGTAACACATTTGCGTATCGCCTTTTTCGCTAATTGATTAGCCCTATTTAACGTTACTTTTTGCTTACGCTTCAGTCTACGAATTACATTAATTTGGAACTTTTTGTCTGTCTGCAAAGGAAAATTCGTTAAACCAAAGTATTTTAAAGTTCTATTGTTCATTTTTATGAATCTTCTAACTATCTTGCCATACCTTTGTGATTGAACTACCACAATTTTACAATTATTTACTTTATTCTTATTACCTATTTGTTTTGTGGTACATGTATTTTTTTGTGATACCTTATGTCTAATATTACCTATCTCGCTTTCTATAGGATTTATGGTAGTTTTATCCAACTTAATTGTATCTAGATCAAATTGACGCGTAACTTCCTCGTTCCCGCTATTATTGTGATTAATTAACTTATTTATGGGCTCAAGAGTTTTATTCATAATTTTAAGATCGTTACTGTTACTCAATAACTCTACCAAATTTGGATAAATCGCTTTTAAATTTTCGATCTGTTTTGACTTTGATTTTTGTATATTAATCCAATTTTCTATTTCTTTCGTAAGTGGTGACTGTACTAGTTGTTTCTCCTGTTGAGTATTTTTAGATTGATATTCTAGAAAAGGTATGTCTTTCTCAACTTCATCATTTTCGTTGTTTTCAGAGTGTTTTTTGTGGATAGTCTCCTGTTCTTCTTTAATTTCCAAGGTTGGGTAGTAACTGGTTAATAAATTCAAAGTTACATAGAAATTAAAAAATTAAGAACATACTTTTAATTTAATTTAATTATAATTTAAATTAATTTCAAATAAATTAATTTTTAATTGAATCTAATTTTAAATTGATTAACTCTTTCTTTTTAAATTAAAATTAAAATATTTTATTTCTCTAACAACATTTTTTTCTATAAAATCTGGAACATTAGAGAACTATAGAAGCCTTCACAGAAAGCTCAATAAATGAATGCATTCAATATCACAACCATTCACACTGTGTGTATCTATTTAGTTTATATTTTTAAATGATTATATTTTAATCTAACGGACTATGGCACACAACTCATGAGGCCTGTTCTTTTTAGCTAAACTTCTTGCATGGTTCAGCTCTTCTCTTTATCGCTCCAACGTGGAGAGAAAAGGGAAGAAGACAAACCATGCAAGAATTTTAGCTAAAAAAAACAGACCTACAGTTAACTCTTAAAAGAAATTCAATTTATTTATTATCTCTTTCCAATTCTGGAATTGAAGAAATGAAAAATAAGTTGAACCTCGGTTAAGAATTGATCATGAGTTGTGAAACTGGGCTTATGTTAATCAGATACGAGAGCTTACTGAATTCCCAATAAACGGTTAGTACTGAATACATCAGGATGTAATAAACGGGATGCTCGTTTATCTAAAGATAAATGTGAGAAATTGAACTTAGGGACTAATAATATTTATTGCAATCATTCTATCTTTGTTAAACGTCTAATTATTGATAAAATACTATTTGAAAATTCCTAAAAAATAAGTTTTTTTATTGTACAAGAAAAATACATTGCTGTGAAAAATTATTTCTTTGTTATATAAAATTTACAAATAAAATATTAAATTTATTTAATGATTCATATTGTAATTATAATTGTCTTTTTATTTAAAGTAATCTGATTTTTAAAAAAATTAGAACTTTCTGATTGAATAAAAAATTGTTTTACAAAATTAACTTTTTGTTTATCTCGAGTTAATTAAATCTTAACATAATTTTAACTCTAAGTTAATTTTTTGTTCATTTAATTTAACATATTTAAATTAATTTTATGAGCCATTATTAACTTCATCTTAATTTAGTTTAAAAAAACATGAACTTACAGAACCCTGTTAATTCCACGATTTGTGGTGAGAACTGGGGATCTTTTTTCCACGCTAACTTCTTGTCGTTCTGGACTCGCATATTTATTGTTGTCCATGGTTTGATTTTGTGTTCCTTCTTGACTACTTATGCTAATGATATCAACATCTTCCTCAGTTAAATCCATAATTAATCGTTTGGTTTGATGTTTTTTTCCATATATTTCCATTGATTTCTCTATCAAGTAGGATGAGTTGGTTTTACCTGATTGTCGGATTATGTTAAGATTTTTTTCATCATTTGTTTTAATATTGTTAGACAAGCTGCTATTTAGCATACACTCAAGTATAGTATCACTACAGTATTCGAATTTATACAGGTCTTATAAAAACTTTGTTTTGATATTTCTATGAAAATTATATAAAATTTTTTGGAAAACAACACAAAAATTGTAAAACAAATAAAATAATTTTTTATTTTAGCTTATGTTTTTTTAAACTTTTTGTTGCAAAATCTCACTAAAATTATAAGTATTTATATTTATACTTGTAAATGACTACGTTTACACAGCTCAATCTATGCCGAAATTGTAACATGTATGAAACTGGCCAATCACAGCTATTCCTCTGAAGAATGAAATGATTGTGATTGGCCAAAAACTAGCTCGATGATTATATTTTAGGCGTAATCGATGTTATAACTTAGACGTAAGTCGAGCTATATAAACGTAGTCTATTATACGTTACTGAATTTTCATAAGATTATAGTGCGAATGTGCGAAAAAGAAGCTCCCCTAACAACACTAGTTATATTCTAGGTGCATTCCATTTCATTATAATGCGAATGTGCGTATGATATATAATATCATTTTATCCTTATTGTTCATCGAATATTAAAGAAAGATAAAAAATGATATATCATACACATCATGCGTAAAATGGATGCATCCTAAATTTATTGCTGAAAATGCTACAGTTATGTCCATTACCCAGATAAAATTTATGTTGCAGAAGATATCTAAAAGTCGTTTTTTAAATGTCTTATGTCTAAAAGATATCTAAAAGTCTTGTAGATATCTTGTGCAACATGCACGTTATTTGAGTATAAAGATTAGTACAACAGGCAGTCAATTTTGAAACATAGCCATTGATTTGTTTGTGTTGTGACCGAATTCAGTTCACAATGGGTGTTTTCCGTTTGATGACACAAGTCGACTAGTGTCGTTCTATCTTTGTCACTCTTTGAATGTTAAGGATACAACGATGTGTGTCACCAAATGGAAAGAACCCAATATTTACCAACTTTTGTTGGTTACAGTTTACAGTATTTACCAATTTTCCAAATTTATTGCTTTTCTGTAAGAGCAAAAAAATAAGTTCAAATCGGCAAAGTGGCTATGCTCGTCAAGCTTGATTAGTTCTTACCTGTGGATGCAATCAATCATTTGTTTAATTACTCGACAAACAGACCTAGCCGCTTTGCCGACTTGAATAGACTTGAATGGACTTGAATGGACTTGAACTCGCTCAATGATTGGCTACTACGCTAATTCCCATCGCGCGGCAAAACGGCAAGTTTTGCTGCGTTCCGTGTACAGTTTCGATAAATACTGTAAACCAAATTTGATCACAACACAATTTCCATCTTGCATAATACATAATTATATACATTTCCGATTTCGGAAATCTTCTAAAATGTCACGTTGTTACAATCGCTCGGATATCATTACTCGTAATTGTTTGAAACACTCAAATACTTAAGAGTTTCTCGCGGCTCATGAAATTACATCGTTTTTCGGCGATCCTGATATCTCGGTATATTCCCGACGTATTATCACAACACTCGCATTCACACTGTATTTATTTGCGCTTCGCATATTTTTCGATAAAAATAAGGATTACATGTACCCATTTTTAACCTTTCGCGACGATCTCCATACTTTGGTTGGAAAAGACAAAATGCTAACCATGCATACTGTGATAATACCCCCTACTGTCTGTAGTCTCTGTTGGTCTCTGTCAGTGTCCTATGTCTCTGTCAATGTCAACCTTCGTTTGATGAATTGGAAGTACTTTTTTCTTCGTTTTCTATTGGTCGGAACGTATATTCTTACGCCGGTGCGACTTGTTAAACTTGTTTCACGATTGTTCTATATGTACACGCTGTCTCTCTTTATGGTACTTTCTCACTTTATGGTATTTTTTCTCTCACCACCGATGAGATCAGATGAGATTATATCGTGCATCGTGTGCCGTCGCATCGAAAACGGCTAGTGTTACGAAGTTTCGCATGATTGTTAAAATTTGAGTGACTAAGGTCCAGTTACATTAATGTCTCTTTGATTTTAAGCGAGACTTAAAACTCTATCTGTCTTGTTTTAAAGCCAAAAAGAGACAGAAAGAGTTTTAAGTCTCACTTAAAATCAAAGTAACATTGGTGCAATCGGACCTAAGGTCCAGTTCCACAACTGATGATTAACTCGTAACCGAGGTTCAACTTATTCATTGTCTCTTTCCAATTTTAGAATTGGAAAAAGATGAGAAACAAGTTGAACCTTTGTTAAGAGTTAACCATGAGTTCTGAAACTGGACCTAACGTTGGATTGTTCCACCTTTTGGTAAACTTCAGCTCACTGTTTTACTCTCTTTACTCTTTTACTCTTTTATTCTTTTGTTTATCCAGTAGATAAATACCACATAGTTTATGGAACAACTGGCCCTAAGGTCGAGTTACACCAACGTTATTTTGATTTTAAGCGAGGCTTAAAACTCTTTCTGTCTCATTTTGGCTTTAAAACGAGATAGATAAAGTTTTAAGTCTCTCTTAAAGTCAAAGTAACGTTGGTGCAACCGAGCTTAAAACAATTTTAAGAAACTATAATATATAGTACTGATCTAATGATTTATTAGTTTCATGACATGTAAATACGTTTAAAACTCAATTTTTGTTTAAAACTGTGATTTTAATGTTACGCGCATGTCGAATTTGATGATTATCAACATATAGAGATGATACTTGTAAAGAAAGAAATATAATTGTGCAGCAATGTATAAGATGTATAGTATTACAAGTATACATGTATACTTATTTATGCCGCACCTATATAATAAAAAATCATGAATTTAATATGTATTATCCAAATATTTATGTCGGTAATAATCGCAAATTTGTATCAATTGTCGATAATGTCATCGTTCTTCACTTATCCCCGAACTCCATCCTCCATTTCTCAGATTCCTCGTTTCATCCTTGTTGTTTATTAAACATTAAACAAGGATGCTCGCGAGCAGCTGATGAGCATTGTAAGCACCAAATAATCGACTGTGATTGGTCAATTTCTTTACTCTGTACATTATAGATGACTCATAATGTCGCGTGTAAATAAGTATCTGCGTAGAACGTATTGGAGAGAACGTAAGGAAATATTATAAACTAATATAAACAAGTGCTGTGTTCTGCTAAATTGAGATTATGATTGATTAGGATCGGCTATAAACTGATGTTTATTGTCTAGCATTGCTGTGATAACCATGAACTGAGGCTATCGGCAGCCAGAATGATAAGAGATGGTACGAGACATTTATTTGGTATGAATGTACGTATTCTTGTTGAAGATTAACTATTGAATATTTTGGTTATACCAGTATCTTGCATGCAATCGAAGCATTCAAGGCTTTTGGACGTCACAGTTCTGAAAAGGTACGGAAATAGAAGATCTAAGATCCTTCTTAAATCATGATATAAAAAAATTTTCACATTGAAGGTTAAATACTTATATACTTAATTTTTGATATATAATTGGAAGAATCGTGATTGTCTACCAATTTATTTTCTTTTCACAGTTTATATTCTTCATTTTCTTTTTTATATTCTTTATTTGTTGCGTTTTCTGATTTATTCTACAATCTACAAGATTCGACGTTTCGATATCTCATATTGAAGAAGCTAAATTCACGAATAATTCAATCTACAAGTTTTTTCAGAATGAAAGATGTCTTTGTCAAATCAAATGTTTGACTGTATAAAAACAAATAATTTGACAAAAGATGAACTAAATCGAATAACTGACGATGTAAATAAAGCTTTAATTGACCCAAAAGGCAATGAACTTTTTGAAAGCTATCTTTCTCAATTCAATTTTTTGGATGGTTTAGTAAGTTTGAGGTTGTACAACACTTGTTCAAATATCCTGAATAAAAAGCAGAATAGATCGTGAGTCTCACAGTTTATACTAATATGAATCTTATATTAAGCATTTTATTACAAGTTAATAGTGTTCATATATTTTTATAATACTCAAGGTTAACACTTAAGATAAATTGCTACATACATTTTTGAAAAAATATGTGTAGCTACTTATATTGATTGGAAAAAACAAATGTGTGTTTAAATAAAAATAATATGTGATATACACATATATGATATATCTCAAAACATCCAAAGTTTATATTAACAATCAAAGAAATTTACAGGAGTCAAGCCAATTTATCGGAAGAATCATTGGAATCACTTATTACTGAAGTAAACAAGATAAAGGAGACTATCGAAGAAGAAGATATAATTGCAATAGATTATCGTGTTATGACAGACTTGAACAAAGCCTTGGAGGCACAAAACAAGGAAAAATTACTTGACATATTAGAAAAGATCAAAGAAAAATGTCAAAATAGTCTACGAGATTTGCACCAAAATTTTAGATTACATCTTGGAAAAATAACGTTTGAAATTTGTTAAAAATATTGACTTAAAATTTTTACATTTTTATATTTTCTTTTTTTCTTTTGTGCATTACGAAGATCCATGATGTTTGTATTTGTTTCTATAATAATTTATTATTTATTTATTTTTAATTTATTTTTACACGTGCACTTTACACTGTACAATGTACTTATTATCCCAAAGTATTTAATATAATAGCTCAGGTATTATAAAACTATAGTTAAAGTAAGAATATATTTTGGATTATTAGATACATATACTCTCTAAAACTGTCAGAGTAAAATCTCATTCTTAAAAACTGAAAATTGAGTCACTTTTTTAAGATTGGCTTTTCATTTCTTATAATGGATCTAATAGAGATTCCATTTCACAGAAAGATAGAATAAGAATAATATATGATTCCTTATGTAAAAGCGATCGATTCATAGTCGGATACTTTAATTTCGATTATTTTCTCATGTATATACTTCTAAATAAGAGACTGATTGCAAAGTAAAACGAATTAATTCGATTAGGAAATAATAAATTGAAACATTTTTCTACGTTAATACAGATCTAGTCATTGCAGCTAATCCAGTGTATACTCGATGTAATTAAAATGAAATAGATATATATATTTGAGTTTTGCCGAAAGCGAGATAAAAAGTTTTAGTGCAGCTTAGTAAGCAACAAAGAACAGGCCTATGAATCAGTCGCTTGATATCGCTTTGTAATATTTATTTATTTATTTAATTGTTATGGCAACGAATATACAGAGGTTTAATAAATCTTGTCACTAGTTCTATACGTCTTCTCTGCGTTGTATTCTTTCTACTGTCAGTCAAATCACATCACAATTGATAAATGTTGAATATGAGACACGTGGATAAATCAGAGGAAAAATACATCGCGACGATTAATCGAATCCGCGATACTATCCGTAAATTAGAAGAAACTACAAAGTATTCACGGGATTTGGAAGCCGTTCGATTTCTGCGGTATTCTATGTTGAAGTCTCGCGATAAAATTCTGACGGACGACCTGAGGAAGATTAAAATACGAAATAAACAGATGTTAAGTGAGAGCAAAATTTCTATTTAACATCACATATTTAGTTCGCATTCTGATTGGAAGATCATTTTTTAGATTTATTTCGACAAAGTGTCACGGACGTTCAACTCGGTTCTCTCGACATACTGCCTGAAACTCTGAGGAGACAAGTGCAGAAAACATGGCATCAAAAGTAATTTCCTCTATCTATCATATCATTAATGATTTGCATGTTGGCACGTTAATTTTATCAAAACGAACAATTAAAGAGACAAATTATCACTTTAGATTGCGCGATGAAACAGAAACAGAAAGAGGTATGTTTGACTATAGTTATGCCATATTTGTACCTCAACTATCGAGTTCAATGAAAATACGATTTTCTTATTTAAAAAATATCCATTTCTATCAATATAGACTAACTTTAATCTTGATTTAATTTACTTTTTATCTTCTTCTAATTTTAAGAAATAAAAAAAAATTAAGTAAATTAAATCGAGATTAATCTACATTGATAGAAATTATTTTAGGATGAAATTTTTAATAGGCTCAGTTAATTGATTTCTTGAAGTTATATAATAAAAGTAATTACTTTTTTTATGTTGAATTAGGAGAGATTTTCTAACTTTTGTGTTTTTCAAACTCAAGTAATTTATAATATATATATATTTATATATATATTTTTTATGAACGTAGACTAGGCGTTCTTTTTTTCCTTTTCTTTAAGAAGATAATTTTTATAATGATTACAATATCGTGAAAATGTGAGATATACATGTATAAAATCTTTTTGCAATACACGTATGCTACATATTAATTATATAGTTTAATATTAATTTATGCATCAAATTAATTAAGTTTTCCTCTTATTTAATTCAATTTAATACTGGCAAATAGTGAGATTATTTATTTTAAGTTCAAAGCACCAACAAATATTGCCTTCCAGTATTAAGGTTGGTTCAAATTTGCAAGGATATTAAGTTACATGTTTAATTTATAATTCATAAATTATAAATCATATAATATGCGTTATATAATATTGTTATTATCTTTGCATTATCTGATTTGCACTGAAGTGGTTTATATATTATAGATCGATATTTTGCAACAAAAATTATTCATCGCAGGGAGCGTAAATTCTAAGGGAAACACTGAAAAGATTTGAGCAGAAAGTGCTGGATTCTGACGAACAAAACTTAAAAATTATATATAAGACGCACAGATGTTTAAAATATAAAAAAAGCTACTATAAACTGTTGTTCTTAAAAATAAAATTTTTGAGTAAGGTAAAGTATATGCCTATTTGGAAGAATCATTTTAAACATTAAATGAACACGTTCGAAATTGAAGAGAAATTATGCTTGGCAGAAACAACTCTTACGTTAGTAAGACAATTAAGGGATTTAGTTATAATCTGATTGCAAAAGTAGATGAAAGATCTATGACTTCCTTATATAAGTAACATATTTGCCAGTCTCAGCGGTATATGTATCCTGGGATCATTGCCAAAAACAAGTGAGATAAAAAAGAAATTTTTTGTAAGTCAATTTCAAAATAAATTAATTAAATTGGCGGGTCGATTTTAATTAGTAGTGCGATGTTGATGAATTATATGTTGTCGCAATTTGATGTCAAATAATATCAGTTTGCTACTTGGATACATTGTCTAAAATTATTTTTGTAGCCATTTTACTCAGTTTAAGAAATTAAATTGGAGTTATTTTAGATTTCGATATTAGTGAAGCCAATAAAAAAAACTTACTAAAACTGGTATATTTAGAATTAGTTAATCGACAACTTTTTGAGGTTTCAGACGAGAGATATAACCAGAAGGATCAAATTCGATTGTTTTGAATAGAATTATGCGTCGGAAATTATGGGAATTATTGGGAATTGCTTGCATCTTCTTATTCGCTCCGCTTATTGTGATTACTTTAATTCTTTTATACATCTATCGTCATTTTATCAAAATTGTATTAAAAATCCAGTTAAGGAATAAGTTCGCTGGTCTCTTGAAAGGCACAGATTGTGTATGGGCCGTTGAAGATGCCGTTTCTTTATCTGTTATCAACATCTTGATGATACTGGAAAAGATCGTGGGGAACTCAAACGAAATTTTCTTGAAGGATTTCAGGAATTTGATAAATGATCGCATTGTTAAGGCTGCTGATTCGACGATTGAGAAACTGTTCTATCTTCGAAGTCAAAGGTTCGGCTATTATTTTTGGGAAAGAAGCGAGAAAGTAGATCTGAAAGATAGAATCAGATGGCTGGAATGTGTGAACGATAATTGTGATGGGTCCTGCGAAAATGTTTCCAGTGAATCATTCAGAAAGACTTTGGAAATTGTATGCAATAAACCATTGCCCGATAATCACAAAGCTGCGTGGGAGATTCTCATCGGAAAACGTTGTCCGAAGTCAAGATCTAATCTCGAAGAAGGCCGTTTGTCTTCCGAAAAGTACTTTGATACTGATACCCGGAAAATTCCTATGTTACTTCGCGTTCATCATTCTTTAGGCGATGGAGTAGCCCTTCTGGGCCTGTTACTCAAAACGATCATCAAGGAGACTGAGACCAAAGAGACGAAAATAAAAATCAAGAATATCGTCAATATCTCATCAAGCGAGACTGGAAAACGTTTCAAAGAAATCATTCCAGCATTGCGAAATTCGGAAAGGAATTTTCAGAACGAGGTGGATGTTGTGCGATTCTATGAAAAGAATATCCTTGCCGCATCGATGTCATTTACTTACGTAACGTTCTTACGATTAATGCAAGATTTACGAGATCATTTTCATGCATCAATGAAATTTTCTAATAACATAACGATTGTGTCACTGAAACAGCAAGCGAAAATATCGATCGATCGTACATGGTTGAATTTCAAAGATGTACTGAAACAAATGTGTGGTACAATTAAAGATATCACGCGGCTAATGATGATTTTGCTTTCTTTTCCGAAATTCATCATTCGACAAGCTGTCCGTAAGATGGATGAAAAGTACATTCAGTATTTCTATTGTATTAATTTAATATGTTTAATCCATTTTATTAAAAATAAAATAAATAAGGAATTAATTTCTCTGAATCTAATCTTTAAAAAATAACAAACACATAGAAAGACATTTAAAATTTCTAATTTCGAAGATTAGATTTTCATGAGAAACAAATTCTGGCGATCGTGTAACTTTTTCTCTTTTATACTTTGTAATAAAAGAAGGAGATTGGAGAAATTGCGAAAACCAGAAAAAATGAAATAAACCCGACGATTATTTATCAATTACAGAAGTCTTTATTTAAAGGATCAAATTTACTATATATAATATATTTTAAATATAGTTTAAAAATATTAAAACCAATATCCTTTGAATAAGGACTTCTATAAATTAATAAATAATCGTCAGTTTTATT